GCAATAGTTGGTGTTGGAATCATGGCTTTGCACGCCATCATGAAAAGTGTTAGGTCTTGTTCCTGGGATTTCTTTACCATCTTCTTCACGACTTTCTTGAAGATACAAGAAAATTATCAAGACAAATTAATTGTGACTTTGAGTTCATGAGAGAAGACATTTATGCTTTACTGCAAGAGAGTGAAATACAAAAACAATTTCAATTATAAGGTGATTTTGATCTGCAAATGAAGTGTTTGATGAAATGCTATAATGAAAGTTTTAATTTTTGACAAAGTTGTAATGTTAGCTTGATTAGAAAGTGATATTAAATTATACGTTTAATGACAAGGTTAAAATATTTGTATTGCAAAGGTTTTTGAGTCAATAAATAAAATACAATAATAATAATTTTATAAGCAATTTAATATTTATTATTTTTATTTAGAGAATGTAAAATATTATAAAATTATTAAAATTCAAGATATAAAATATAATTTAGATAAAACAAAAGGCCATCAAACTATGAATCTCTCAATTTACTTCTCGATTTAAAATTTGATTGGCAAGCGCTATAAGTTGCCATAATTTTCAATTTTGATTGGCAAGCGCTATAAGTTGCCATACATAATTTTCAATTTAGATTTTTTTTTTACCTTAACTTAATTGTGTACATGCTGTCTTAAAAAAATATTTTTTAAAAAAATCAAAATTTTAATGTTTTATTATAATAATGTTAAAAATAAAAAAAATTAATATATTTTAAAATAAAAAATATTTTAAAAAATAACAGATATTACAATAATTAAATTATTATCATATTTATTTGATATTAAAAAATATTTTAAAAAATAAAAGATATCACAATAATTAAATTATTATTATATTTATTTGATATTACAATAGTAGTTATTTTTTGAAAATATTTTTTATTTTATAAAATTTATTTTTAATATTAAAATATTAAAATAATTCAAGAATATAATAACAAATTATTTTTTAAAAATTTAAAATTTTTAAAATACATTATTTATCATATTATTAATTGTATATTTAGAAATATAGCAATAGTTACAATTAAAAATATTTTTTAAAAAATATATTAAAAAAATATTTTTAAATAAAAAAATATAAATTTTTAAAAGTCTTTTTGTTCTTGAGAATCTCCGAGGACCGGAATGATTATCCCTGCCCGATGGGTCTACCGGATACTGAATAGACCCTTTCTTCCCATCTTTGATCTCCATCTACATGACTAAAACCGGCAGGGCACTAAAGTCCATTCAGGAAACAACCAGAAAAAAGGCACGGACCTACTAGTAGGTGGAGGAATTAATTACCACATTAATTCGTGAGTTCCAACAATAGCAAGATGCCTCTTCTCTCTCCTTCATAAGCTCACCACATTCTCAACTCTGCAACGACTCGGCAATGGATCCTTATGAATTCCTCCGTCTATCTCCAAACCCAGACGGTTCACTCACTAGAAATTACCTTTTTCCTTCAGTACCTCCAGCCGACAAACCCCTCAGTGATCCAAACAAGCCCCAACTCGCTCTTTCCAAAGACATCCCTCTTAACCCTACCAAGAACACCTTTATTCGCATCTTTCTCCCTTCAAACCAACCACCAAGCACCAAACTTCCCGTCATTCTTTACTTTCATGGAGGTGGTTTTGTTCTTTATAGCGTTGCTTCTCTTCCTTTCCATCAATCTTGTTGTGCCATGGCTTCGAACTTCCCTGCTTTAATCCTGTCCGTTGAGTATCGTCTTGCACCTGAACATCGCCTCCCTGCAGCGTACGATGATGCAATGGATTCTCTCGCGTGGGTCCGCGACCAAGCAATCAATGGCGACGATCCTTGGTTGAAAGAGTACGGAGATCTTTCCAAGTTTTTCTTAATGGGTAGTAGCGCCGGTGGTAACATTGTGTACCATGCTGCTTTACGGGCGCTGGATGTTGATCTTTCGTCTATTAGGATCAAAGGGCTGATAATGAACGTGCCTTATTTTGGTGGGGTCAACAGGACTGAGTCCGAGATTAGATTGAAAGATGATAAGATCGTGCCGCTGCCAGCCAATGATCTGCTGTGGTCACTTGCATTGCCTAAAGATGCTGATCGTGACCACGAGTATTGTAACCCCATCGTTGCTGGATCCAATGATGATGGGAAGATCGGACGGCTGCCTAGGTGTTATGTTAAAATTTATGGCGGGGACCCCCTTTCGGACAAGCAGAAGGAGTTCTCGAAGATGCTAGAGTCACTTGGGGTTCACGTGGTGACAAGTTTTGATCCCGATGGCTACCATGCCGTGGAGCTCTTTGATCGTAGAAAAGCTAAAGCTTTCCATGATGAAGTCAAGGAATTTATCAGCAGTGCTTCACCCGCCACCAACTCCTCCATGTGAGGAAGGGGACTGCAAAATTTCAGAGTATCTTCTTCGATTTTATTTACTTTGAGTCACCAAAATCTATTGGCAATGAAATGGTACTCAAAGGATGCCATGTTCTCATCTAGTACCTTTTATATTGTTTTCAATAACGACTCGTGTGATTTATTATTATTATTATTATTAGTATTATTATTTTTATCGGGTTCGAAGTATCCATATAAAATAACTGATGGTTATAAATCTTAATCATGCTCTTGTATTTTGGAATAGTCCAATCGAGAAAGAAGTAGTTACACGTGCAGTAGATTATAAATTGCTCTTTTAATTTTGTAAAATGAATTCAATAGTCTTTATAGTTTTGAAAATTAATTAATTAATCCTTCAATTGTTATTAATCCTTTTTTTTTTTGTATCAATTGTGATTCAATTATTACACTTGATTTTTGTTTTTGTTTTATCACCATCAGAAGTTATGTTGTCAGATCTTTATGTGCTGGAATGTGTTTTGTTGTGCCTGTTCTCTCATGTACAGTACGGCATGAATTGTTTTTACACCACATTAATATTACAAAATAGAATCATAGGTTATAGGGAAAAAAAAGAAAAGAAAGACCAACATTAATAAAAAATAAAAATAAAACAATTTTTTTGTTTTCACTTGCATTGCTCAAGAGGCGTGCCTATCTCCAATATGGTCCCAGCAGTTTTCAAAATTTATATTTTCATCATAAAATTTTATTTCTCTCATATTCATGTCCATAAGTGTCAAGAGAGGGTCATTGGAAAGGGACAAGAGAGAGGAAGCTTTCGTTCAAACTTCAATGGGTTTATCTTGAAGCGAGAAGTTGAATAAAGATCATTTTAAACTTTTAATTATGTTAAAAAAATAGATTGCGATCTGAAAATTTTAAGTTGATCTTGAAGTGGAGTTTATAATTTGTACCGTAAATTTGTTAAGTTGACCAAATATTAATTAAAGATTTGGGTTGTGATTTTTTGATAATTTTTTTTATATCTTTTATTTTTTATTATCTTTAATTCTATCATTTAGTGTAAGGTTTTTATTGAATTTTATCTTTTTATTGGATTAATAATAAATTAATTTTGGAATTTTTAATCATATAAAAAAATTAAAAATTAATTTAATTCAATAAAATTCATAACTTGTATTACAAAATTAAAAAAACTGACTAAATATCAACTAAAGAGTTAAAATATAAATTTTTAAGTTTAAAATTTTATTCCAGATGATAAATTTAAAATTAATAAGCTCAAAAAAACTTTTTAAAAAATCATTTCTTTTTAGTCAATGAAAGGATTCATCTTTTTTGACCGGTAAAAAGAAAAACCCACCTCTTTTGATAAAAAACCCACCCTTTCCTTGACCCAACTAAGGAAAGTATCCACCCTCCATTGAGCTTAATCAAAGGAATTATCGATTATTTTTGAATTTAATAAAAAAATGATTTAGATCATGAATTTTGTTGAATTTAATATTTTTATTTTTAAAAATTATTTTTATTTAATTATATAATAAAAAAATTTAAACTATTACAAAATTAAGTATCAACTCATTACCGAAATGTTTTCTCGAGACCACAATAACCCAAAAAATAAATTAAAATAACTTATGTAATCTAATTATTAATAATTATATATTTTTTAGAATAATTTTTTATTTAATAATACAATAAAAAAATAAATACTAAAAAAAACCAAGTACCAACCCAATGCATGTATTTTTTTTTTAAATCAATGAAGATACTATAAAAAATAAATTGAAATAAATTATAAAGTTTAATAGATAATAATTTTTTTTTTCAGAATTTTTAAATTATAAAGTTTAATAGATAATAATTATATTTTTTTTCAGAATTTATTTTTTATTTAATAATATGATAAAGTATTTTTATTTAATTATATAATAAAAAATAAACTATTACAAGATTAAATACTAACTCTATATCATTATATTTTTCTAATAAAAATATGATAATTCCGTGTAAAGAAAGAGAAATAAATAACAAAATTCAATTATATTCAATTCCCATGCAGATTTCTTTAAAAAGTTAGCCTTGCCGTGATTCCTTTGATATTATTCACTCTGTTTTGTAATGATGCTGTAAAGTTGCTTTAATTGCTTTCTATTATTCTGTTAAATCTAATAATATTTTTGAATTAACATACATCTTTCCTCTCCTCACATTTTCTTTTTAAATATTTTTTCAATGACAATTACTTTGAAATAATATTTTTTAGTTCTTAAGTATTTATTTTTAATATAAAATGATCCAAAAATAAAATAAAATCTTAATAGTTGAAAAAACAAAAAAACAAACAGACAAAATTGCCCTTCACAGTATCATTGCCGAATCGCTACAAAGAAGTTTAAGCTCACAAAAAAGAGAAATCCACTCTAATTTGAAAAATAGATGATTTAAGTACCTAAAAAGGATATATTACTAGTATACACTCTACCCAACCATTTCTTAAAATGGAGAGCCAAGCAATTCGCCACCCGCACCCGCTATCTAAACCATAGTACTAGTAAATAAATAAAAATAAATGTTACTAGTAAATAAATAAATAAATGTTACTGTTCGAATGAACAGCAACACTAAGATGTGAGGAGGGGACCCGTGGTTTCCCTTAATAATAATACCGATTGATCCAATTCTCCTTAACTTCACCTTCCTTCGTATAATTCCTCCTCTTGCGTTCTGTTTTTCACTCTCCTTCAGAATTTACCTCCGTATCTAAACCATGTCAACTTGCTCTGTTAAGCTGACAGATCTCCTCGATTTTGTGGAGAACCCAGATGGCTCCCTCACCAGAAACAGTCCATTTCCTGAAGTACAGCCGACGGAACATACAACTCCAGATTCCAAAGAACTTTCGCTCTCAAAAGACATCCCTCTAAATCCCAAGAACAAAACATCCCTTCGTTTATTTCGCCCTTTGAAACCCCCTCAAAAACTCCCTCTCATTATTTATTATCATGGAGGTGGCTTTGTTCTTTACAGCGCTGCAACTCTTGCTTTCCATCAAACGTGCAGTGACATGGCTTCTCATTTCCCTGCTCTCGTCCTGTCTGTTGACTATCGTCTTGCCCCTGAACATCGCCTTCCTGCTGCATATGAAGATGCTATTGAGGCTATGAAGTGGCTCCAAAACCAAGTTTTGGATATCAACGGCCCTTGTGAACCCTGGCTTAAAGAATACCTTGATTCTTCAAGGTGTTTCTTGATGGGCATGAGTGCTGGAGGCAATATTGCCTACCATGCAAACTTGCGTGCCTTGAATATTGATATCAAGCCCTTGGAAATCATTGGATTGATATTGAATATTCCCTATTTTTCTGCTGTCACCAGGACTGAATCAGAGAAAAGGTTGATCAAGGATCCGGTTTTGCCATTGGCTACTAGTGATCAGATGTGGGCCCTGTCTTTGCCTAAAGATACCGATCGTGATCATGAGTACTGCAATCCGATTGCTGGTGGGTCTCTTGAAAAGAACAAAATCGAACGACTGCCAAGGTGTTTCTTCAGAGGATACGGCGGGGATCCGCTTGTTGATAAACAAAAGGAATTGGTGAAGATGTTAGAGTCGCGTGGAGTGGACGTGGTTACAAAGTTTGATGAGGATGGCTTCCATGCTGTCGAGGTTTTTGATCCTGCAAAGCTCAGGGTCTTGTACGATTATGTTAAAGAGTTTGTTAACACTACTGTTAAATGATCATAATGTGCTGGCTACATGAACTGGGAGTAAGGCGTTCGATTGGTAGCAAGGGAAGATTACTGGTCCTGCCAAATCCACACATGTTGGTTTGGCAAAGTTAAAGCTTTGTAATGGAGTTTTCTATTATTCTAATAAATTGTGTATGGAACATGATTTACTACTTCTTTCTCTGAAGCACCAAATCAATATAATATCATAAATACGCATATATTGGAGGTACATTTTTCCATGTCTTTTAAATACTCTTGTTATTCATTGTTTACTTAGTTGCTGGCACGGTATGGGCTCCATTTGCGGGTTGAATTAATTTTGTTTTTAATACATATAAAGAAATTAGACTACATGACATTAAACTTCGCCTATCGAGTTCATCTTAATTTTTTTTAATTAAATTAAATTATATAAACATTATATTAATATAATTCAATTAACTTGAAAATCTAAAGAAGACTGGACAGTAGCCAAAAAAAATAAAAAAATTTCACTTAATTTTTTTTTGAGCAAGTGGGATGGTGGACTTTAACGACAACGAATGATCGGGAAAGATGTTTCTCAAGTCCTTCTCAGGCGTCACTTCGCACTAAGCAAGGATTGAACAACGACAAATGATCGAGAAAGATGTTTCTCAAGTCTTTCTCAGTCGTCACTTCCCACTAAATTTCTGTAATTAATTAATGATTAGCAGACTAGCACACCAGAACACCCGTCACCTTCACGGCTCTGGTTGCGGACGCTACGTTGAGTTCAACGCTGCCTTACTTTCGCTCTATAGACGTAGATTTGAGCCCTTTAAAGATTGATGGGATTAAATTGAACCAGTCATTATTTTATTTTATTATTAATTTTTTTTTGATTTACGTGGGGTGTCCGGGCCAGCTTACGCGCACCACGACTAATCCCCACGGCCCACTGAACACCCTGCAAACCCAGTAGGCATGTAAGGCACCGCGGGGGTGACAGGCGTGCACACCAGGACTCGAACCCATGTGCGATGGAAGGAGCTTGGCTCCTGCCACCGCTAGGCCAAGCCCCTCGGTGCTGAACCAGTCATTATTTGGTATTGCCAGAAGGTGCGGACGTGACCATCCATTTTGCAATCCAATGGTGGATGGATCACATAAGAGTAAGAATTTGTGCAAATGCTCCAAGTTGAATGATGAGCCGGAATTTAATGGGGATGGAAATTTTATTTATTTACACCCACACACGAGAGAGAGAGAGATTGCATTAAAACGCCATAAAGAATGGCGAAGAAGTACAAAATGAATTTGCTAAAAATGGAACAACTGACAAAACATTTACTAAGAAGTTAAATAATTGAAATAACACCAGAGAATAAGAGAAACCAGAGGGAAACCAAAAGTTCAGAGTCAGCAAATACTCTTATCTAAGAAAAGATTGCAGAACCGAAACACCACATAAACAGAGGACGCGGCTTCATGACCATACTATAAATTAAATTCTTCTATACGAGGGACTCCTCGTTTTTATTACCAAGTAAGCCAACAACCCAACAGGCAGCAACTCAAGATGAGAAAAAGAGGATTTAGAATCTATTCCAGCATCAATTTGAGGTAACAACAAGATAAAAAAAGAGGATTTAGAATCTATTCCAGCATAAATTTGAGGTAACAACAATAAACTATCAACAGTTGCATCAACGTAAATATAAGATATTCAAGTAAATAAGCTGGAAGATTAGAGTCAAGATATAGTTGTTATTTTTATTTATTTTTAAATAAATAATTTTTTTAAAAATAATTTTTAATATAATAAGAAATCACCACAGCATCAGACATGCTTTATATACCTTGCAGAACCATCAACAATTTGGTTTGTATCGTGAAGAACATGAGAGAAAGACACGGATCTAGATGCAAAGATAAAAAGCTAATTAATGTATCTCCATGTTCTAATGAATGGAAGGATGAAATTTCACACAAAGAACATCGTGAAAAGAATCATGTGTACTGATTACTATTGAACATGAATACTGTCTTGTATGATGTCGGGTTCCATGTGGTCGGCCGTGCCGTGGATTCTCATCAACGCGTGATTCTTTTCACGATGTTCTTTGTGTGATATTTCATCCTTCTATTTAAAATAAACAATTAATATTCGCAGGTGATTACATGATTTTTTGTCATATAAATTACAAATTCTTCGAGAAAGTAATCAATTTTTACATAGTTGGATAATAATAAAGAAAGGAGGAGGAGGATGAAGTATAATTATAAAAAACCTACTATAGCTGGATGGCATTTTTACTTTCCCGTTGTACTATGAGAAAATACACTTCAAAAGAATATATTCACAAATAGTTCGTAGATGTTTCATCTAAAAACAAAATAGCTTTATTGAAGCATTTTCACAAGTATATCATTTACATTGTTAGTCTTGTAGAGTAATATAAAATTATATTTTAAAATTTTATTTATCAGTTTAAATTTTAAAATTAAGATGATTTTTTAATATGATATTAAAATTTGAGTGACCAAATATTTATAAATTTAAAATTTATTATTCTTATTTATTTGATAAAAATTAAATATAAGATAATGTGAAGTTTTATTTTAATTTCAAAATTTTTTTGCTTAAAGAAATATATTTAAAAAATATAAAATTATATTTTAAAACCCTTAACTTTTTAATTGAGATAATTATTTCACAGTTACAGTTAGCATTGCCTAACAAACTACACACTACTTGCCTAAACACCACCTTAGCTGCAGCTACAAACCTAAATGTTACTAAGATTCTGCAGAATTTAATCTTACCTCTTGCTGCACAGGGCGGGCAGGCAGGCAGGCAGGCAGTTGCATCAGAAATTAGCTTCAGGAGAGCAATTCAACATGGCCGTGTAAACAAATGATGACCATAACCAGTCCCAGACTGAATCTAGTGAATGAAGGTCTTCAAACAAGAACCTCAAGGGGTTGGTCTAGAATATATATATATTCTAGACCAACCCCTTGAGGTATGTATATATATAAACTGGGGCTTTCAAGATCGAATCCTCCTGCCACAAACTCTTGTAGCCACGGCCGCCACCTCGTGTAAAGGCTAGCTCCAAGTACACGAAAGGTGACCTAGAATAACCTGCATTTCTTTAAAAGAACAAAGGTTTCTAATCAAGAGAACCAATAGATTAATCCTGGGAATCGGAGTGAGAAAATGCACCGATCCCAGACTGAATTTAGTGAATGAAGGTCTCTAAACAAGTGAACTAATAGATTAATCATGGAAATTGGAGTGAGAAAATGCACTCAGAAGTGTGCACGAAAACAATTTCTTTTGTGGAAACTAGCCTATCTATTTTTAGCACTGCGGGGAAGACATGGAAGTGAAAATTGCTTTAAGAGTCTTGTAAGCAAGCGTGTGTGTGGTGAAGTTGCTAAGAGCATCACTCACTTATCTTTTTAACCAAAACATAGCTGCTGTTCTCATTAAACCAAAGTATGATGCCAAAGGATTAACAGTATTCTGGATAACTCCTGCCTACACTACTGAAGAATTTAATGTTTATGTTCATATGATTCTGCAGCTTCTACACTACTGAAGCTAATTTTATGATGCCACTGCCAGCCTACACAACTGAAGATCAACCAAATCTCCTTTGACAAATTTTCCACAACCTCTCCCATCAACCAAATGCAAGCACATAAACTTGGCTCAGGATATGATATTTGTTTTTTTATATATTATATTTGATGATAATTTTATTTTTTATTATTTTTATTTGACTCAAGAAATAAAATCAATTTTTTAAAGTATAATAAAAAATAAAAACAGAATTAAATTAAATTATAGAGTTTTTTAATAATTATTATTATAAATAATCTTATATAATTTAATCTAAATTTTACTTTCTTCCTGTTTTTTAAAATTATATTTTATCAAATAAAATACTTCATTGATGATATGAACTGTTATTGAAATTTGAATATATATAAACTATGAAATAAAATATAAACTGCTATTAAATATATAAACTATATAAATTATATAAATCAAAATATAATTTATAAAACATAGAGAAAATAAAATTTATATTAAATCATAATAGAGTTTTTGTAACTATTTCTTCTTATTATTACTGAAAAGGTTTTAGGTACCGTGAAAATATGGTCTCAATATTATTTTAGATATTTTTTAATATTAATTTTTAATATTTTAAATTATTTTAATATTAATATCAAAAATAAATTTTAAAAATAAAAAAAATATTGTAATATATTTTAAAGAATACTTTACAAACAACAAACAATACACTTTTAAACACTACCGTATACTCATCATTGCAGGCTTTGGATTTACTAACGTAGGGTTCCAAGTAGCAACAACTTCGTGCCTAAGCTAGATCCACGTCAGACTTGATGACGCCTAGGTGTCCTCCCCCTCCTTCCTCCATTCCTATTCAGTCACCAAACTAATACACCACTACAATCAACACCGTTCAATCAACACCGGAAATCGTGATTAGATCAAATCCTACGTACGTACTCCATAGATTTGCTTCTTTACATATAAGCATATGCACCCAATCCTCACCAACAACAACTTTAATCGATTCTAGCGAGGGCAAATCACTTTGCTCTCTTCCTTCCTTCCTTCCAACTCTTTTCAGTATAGAACAGTCTACCAACATAAAACAATGGCCAGCGGTGGCGGTGAGCCTCCACCGATTCCGCCGAATGCTAATGGCGGCGAATTTCTACTCTCTCTACTCCAAAGACCTAACCACCATCATCCACCGCACCAGCAGCAACAATCCCAATTTCCTTCGCAATTCTCCCCTTTTATCACCCCACAATTACAAAATCAACATCCTCAGCCTCTTGGTTTTGATCCTGCAGTTGCAGCTGTGGGCCCCAGTTTGCCACTACTGCCTCATCAATTGCTGCAATCCCTCGGCTGTGATCGTCTCTCTAATACCCCTCCTCTCTGGTCACACAATCTCGGCTTTCCGCAGAAAAACCAAGCTTTTCCTCACCCCCACCCCCATGGAAATCAATTCCAAGGGAATCAGTATTTAGCAGATGATTTGCAAAGATCAGGGCTTTCAAATGCGGAGGTTAGAGCTAACAACAACAACAATAATAATTTGATTCAGCATCTGCCTCAACAGAAGCAACAGTTAGAGCAAAAGCTACAGTTTGGTTCCTTTTCAAGTGCAATTCCAAGCCCTGCTGACGGTTTAGTCAATGCGAATTTGATGC